CTGAAATACTGGCAGAGAAAAAGGGTGAAATAGAGGTTTGGGAAAGAGAATAGTCATTAATTAAAAATTGGAGATATGATAAATGAATTCTGCATCACTATCAGAGAGTGAATAAATCATTTAGTGAGGGATTGATATTTATGAACAAGTAGTAGGAAGATAAATTGTCAATTGCTTTGAAGTCTCTTATCAATTATTTTTCTGAGAGTGTATATATAAGTATTTTCCCTTTGTATCAAGAGAAATAATTTAAAAGCAAAATGACTAAGTGCATTGTGAAAGTCATACAGCATTACAGATATGGATTGAGATTAGAATTGACTCTTCATCAGGTTTGGTTCCCTGACATTCCCTTATTCTTCTTTAAATAAGTTTAGTAATGCAGTATGTAACCTTTCTAGAGCAAACGGATTGTACCGAAAAAAAAATTACCTTAGATACAGGAAGCAAGAGATTTAAAGAATGTGAGAATTTGCAGATTAAAACCATGATAAAATGGACCACAATTATGAATTTGACATTGAACCTGTTTGAGAATCTTGTTCTCAGTAATGGGACTTGAATTATGTGAAAAATCAGGCAACCTCATCCAGACAGAAAGTTAGCCAATGAGATTTAAAGAACAAGTATAGTTGTCTGAGATTAGAGAGGCATGTTTATATCTCTCCCTCTTATGTGGCCCTGGGGCCCTTGGGGTCCACATGTTGGGATGGTGGAGACTCTCCTGCCTGCCATGGTGCAGTCTGTGTAACAACCACAGGTTCAGCACAGGGCCCAGGAATCTTCCCCTAAATGGAAGTGCCATCGACAGCTCTGCTGTGTGAAGGTAAGGTTCTGTTTATTCTGACCAACATCAAAGAAAAATGAGCATAGGCTGTGTATCATAGCTTCATGTGCTGTTCTTCTGTATTGAGGACTCTTTTATTCCTGCAAAGATTGTGGAGGTCTCCAATAAGGAGGCTGAATATGATTGAGACTCAATAGTGTGTTATAAAAGATGGTGCACACACAAAACGCTGTCTCCCCAAAAAATCTTTTGATATTTCCTCCGTTTTTATAGGACTTTGTTTCTGCAACACGGGTCATGTACTCTCAAGCCTTAGCACGTTTGAGTTTGGGTTTCCAAGCCTGATCCAAGGTGTCCAATCATGCACTCTTTGAATTGTCATGCAGAGTGGAAAGGATAATTTTTTTTCTGAAATATTTCAGGGGGATAGACACTGAGAAAAATGTTTATATTGTGCATACCTCATGTTTTTCAAAAATGCAAACCTACCTTTTTTTATCAGTGGAAATAAAGAGAGAGCATAATTTATGGAAGAGGCTAGCCAAAGAAATAAGAGTGGTGGCAAATAGTTTTAAATGTGTTATGTGCTCTCTGGGGTAGGTAATGAAAAGTGGAACCGAGTATTGGGAAGGGAAAGGACATTTAGGGGCCAAGTCCTGGTGACTTTCTTCCCTGCAAAGGTAATTGAGTATTTTTGAGCGCTGACCCATAGCACTAAAGTCTGGTATAAGAACAATGGGGGCAGCAGTGTGGAAGCCATCTCTAGAGCAGGGCACAGAGGTGCTGGCCTGAAATCCCAGGGACTCAGGAGGCTGAGGAAGGGAAGTTCAAGGCCCTCAATGATTTTGCCAGACTCTCAACAACTTAGGGAGACCCTGATTTGAAATAAATGAACAAATAAGTAAACAAACAAATAAATAAAAGGCAGGGGATATGGTAAAGCAACATCAGCTTTAATCCCTAGTGCCAAAAAAAAGTAAAAAAAAAAAAAAATGGAAAAGACAAGACATTTGCAGAGATGACCCATGGTAGCCCTTTCTCTGTGGGAATCCCATAGTGAACGGTCCTATGGATGTTTGGTTCGGATGCCTCTGGGTCCTTCTTGCACCTTTTTCATGGTGAACAGTTGCTCATGCATCCTTCAGGGTCTCATGGTTTCTACCGGAGCAGGGATATGGGTAGGGTATGGTAGGAGGCTGAAAGAGTGGTCATGTAGAAAGGTCATCTTGTCATTTGAAATTGTACCTTTCCTATAAGGCATTTTGCAGAGTTGTGGGGAGCTGGACACTAACAAGACTTCCATGTGGGTGATCAACTGTTCAGATTTGATAAAACAGTCATAGACTTGTTGAATGATGCCCAATTCCATGATTCCAGAATGCCCAGATGTTGACAGCAAACACTACCAAATCACTGCCTGAGGATGTGTATTAGAAATATGCTTAACTTGGCTCCAGATCTTGATATCCTTGACATTCCTTTGAAGAGGACAAGGGGTAGGGCAATTTTGAACAGGAGCCTCATAACCTGGAAGGCAGACCTGGTGCAGAGAGGTGGAGAGAATAGCATGAGGTCATCGGGCTCATAGATGAAGAGTTAGAAGAGAGACTCAGAAAAAGGATGGCAGGGATGTCTACAAGTCAAATTTTTATCTTCTCCATCCAGGTGAAAGTTAACCCAGGTTCAGACATCAGCCTGTATGCTTGTGTGAATTTCTCACCCATCTTGTTCCTGTGACAGATATTTCCAGCTAAAGTCATTATAAGGTAGTAGATTGTTAAAGAAATAGGAAAATGAATAGTACAAACTTATCAAGTAGAATAGCATTAGAAATAACATTTGATTTGTTAAAATATTGTCTGAATTTTTATAATAATGAGAGTGAAGCAGTTTCTGTGGAATCATTACGTTTTGTTTATTTAAAAAAAGCATTTTGATTGATTGAAATTAAATTTTAAATTAAGTGCATTGTGTCATGGAAAGAGTTGTGTGAGGAATCTGAACATGTCTTTTTTTTTTTTTGGCTTTAAGGGAAATATTTTGATATTTGCAGCAGCTGGTACTTTCTGGATAAAGGGAGAAGACAAAAGTAAAGATCCTTTAATAGGGCCAAAGTTAACATGTTTACTGAAAATATTTGATGTTTGCTGTCCATACCCCATCCCTGATTTTTCTTGCAATTTCTATGTAACTGACACATGATGTTCTCACTTTCTACTTATAGGTAACACATCATAAGGGTTAATATAAGCTGTTGTGCTAGTTCACAGTAGATTTGGTACATCGTATCATCAACCTCCCATTTCATATTATTTCTTTTTTGAACATTTCACACACACACACAAAAAAAAAACAACCAAAAAAGTCTCAACATAAACCAAACATCAGGCATTAGTGACACAGATTCAAGGAGAAAATTTTTCATGGAATATTTCAATTGCATATGTTATACTTTGTCAGATACTCTGTTCTATTCATTATGTTCACAGTAATTCCTCTACCTTCACCACAATTCATAAAATACAGACAAGAGGAAGTCCTTTCTTCATGGGGCTCATGTCTAAGATGAACCACAGCTACGTTGCTCTTCAATACTGTGTTCTGAGCATGCAGCTTTGATTTCTTTTCTTTTCCTCTCTCTCTCTCTCTCTCTCTCTCTCTCTCTCTCTCTCTCTCTCTCTCTCTCTCTTTTGAAGACAGAGATCTCTAAACATACAGAGAGTTTTGCTTTCAGTTTGGTTGAATACGAGAATGGAAGAATCCCAAAGGTAAAATAGCATTTCATTGTTAGATGCTGGCAAACATTAAAAGCAGCTAGAGTTGGACAGATGCTGAGAAGCAGTCGCAAGTCACGTGTGCCCAGGAGGACGAGCTCATTGACTACTGACTGCTGATTGTGGAGCAGGATTTTGGTCATCAGCTGCCTGCCCAGCTCTGTGCTAAGAGGCTCTGGTTTGTCTTGATTGTACAGGCAAATGGAGCAAAGAGTTCACAGTTTTCTCTTAGCTATTTGACTTCAGTTCACTTCAGTGAAAAATGGAGGCTTAGGGAGAGCTATAGAACCTATAAGATAATTACAGCTGAAAGATTAACTAACCTCTGGCTTCCAATAGTGGGGATTAGAGCTGAAGCACACCATGTGGTCCCTAGTCCATTCACTATATGTAAGAACAGATAGCCATGTGCTGAACAGGATGGTGAGCCCAGTGTCACATGAAGATGGCATTTACTTAAGATGTGTCAAAATTATCCAGACAGGCTACATTTTCTCCTTCGTTTCGCTTGAAAATGCACATGATATTTCTATCTTACTTATTTACTCTGAGTCCTGGAAAGGAACTCTATGTGTGCAGAAAAAGGCTTATGTAAATATCAACTTTGTGAAATCAAGACAATAGCCCTGTAAACAAACAGAAATTCCAACTGGTTAAAAGTAATCAGCTAATATATCAGTGAAAAATACTTAAGTATGAGCAATCTAAGGTGTAATATATTTTAGTGTAAAACACAGTATGATCATTACTACAATTTTTAAAATTCAATTATTGATAGAACAGGATTATACAGTGGATCATAGGGAAAATCTTCTTTCACACTACATTTAACTTTGTAAACTCTTAGATATATACATTTTGTCTGTGCGTGAAAATGATTTAAGTAAAATTGTATTTTCATGGCATCAGGTTTGAGGGAGACCTGAGAGAGGCATTTCTCATGGTGGCACACAGCTCTGTGAACCCTGAATGAGATGGTATTTCTGGGAATACTGCTTTGGTTTGCTCTTCATCAGGCAGGAGAGTGGCAATTTTGACAAGTTTCCCCTTCAGCTCAGAGACTCTAGTCTGGCCTCCATCCTCTGTCTCTGCCCTCTTTCCCCTGCCTCAGTTCTCTGTTCTTCCTCATTTTTTATACTCTCGTAAAAGGAATATTACATTAAAATGAAGGAAACTAAATAAGACGTAGAATTGCTGTAACTCCACCACATTACCGCCAGGCTTTAACAAACCTCCAAGACCAGATGTGTCCTTCTCAATGCATTGACCTCTCTCTCTGAAACAGAGTAGATACCCAGCACATTGGGATCAAGCCTTTTATCTGGACCTAATAAATGACCTACAGACTGACACAGCACTGGCAGCTCATACGTTGATGTATTCAATTGCTTCTCTTTTTTCTGCCTCTCTCTGCAGATTAAAAATATTTTAATTTTTAAATGGAACGAGATAACCAGACATGGGTGAGTGAATTCATTCTCCTCGGACTGACCAGTGACCGGGACACTCAAGTCTCCCTCTTTGTCCTCTTCTTGGCCATGTACCTGGTGACAGTGCTGGGGAACTTCCTCATTGTCCTTCTGATCAGACTGGACAGCCGGCTGCACACGCCCATGTATTTCTTTCTCACCAACCTCTCCCTCGTGGACGTGTCTTATGCCACCAGCATCGTCCCTCAGCTGCTGGTGCATCTCCTGGCAGAACACAAAGGGATCCCATTCCTGAGCTGTGCTGCACAGTTGTTTTTCTCCCTGGGCTTGGGCGGGATAGAGTTTGTTCTCCTGGCAGTGATGGCCTATGACCGCTATGTGGCAGTGTGTGACCCCCTGCGCTACTCAGTCATCATGCATGGAGGCCTGTGCACTCGGTTGGCCATCACATCCTGGCTCAGTGGCTCCATCAACTCGCTCCTGCACACGGCTATCACTTTCCAGCTGCCCATGTGCACAAACAGGTACATTGATCACATATCCTGTGAAACTCTGGCTGTGGTCAGGCTGGCCTGTGTGGACACCTCCTCCAATGAAATTGCAATCATGGTTTCTAGCATCATCCTCCTGATGACACCCTTCCTGCTGGTGCTCCTGTCCTACATCCAGATCATCTCCACCATCCTGAAGATCCAGTCCACGGAGGGGAGGAGGAAAGCCTTCCACACCTGTGCCTCTCACCTCACTGTGGTCGCCCTCTGCTATGGGACCACCATTTTTACCTACATCCAGCCCCACTCCAGCCCCTCTGTCCTTCAGGAGAAGCTGATCTCTCTCTTCTATGCCACTGTGATGCCCATGCTGAACCCCATGATTTACAGTCTACGGAATAAGGAGGTGAAGGGCGCCTGGCAGAAACTATTAGGACAATTCTCTGGGTTAACTTCAAAACTGGCAACACCATGACTCAGGAGCATCACTGGAGAAGGGAGCTATGCCTGAGTGCTCCCCACCCAACTTTATGGGACAGGCTTCAGCTGCATTGCCCTGGCAACCAGGAAGCAGATGACATAATGTGCTGGTGTGTTATGTAGGTGCCTGTTATGGAGGTGTGTTGGGGATGGGATGTGGGAGTATTTTATATCACAGCAGCGTGTTTGGTGGAGTTAAGCACTGCTGATATTGATCTCACCTCCCTCTCTCAATCTCCATTCCCGAGGCCCAAGACAGGACAGACTTTTTGATTCATCATATTGTTTCTAATTGTGACCCTATTCACAGTTCTTCCCTTGGACCCCTTGTCCTTAGCAGACACATTTTGGGAAAGGTTTAAGTGTTTCCAGTGGAAACAAAATGCATTTTCACATTTGAAGTCTCACCTAAAATAACGGGTGGTATTGTAGCACGTGCAGTAACTGCATGAATCAACCCTCGGAGGAGAGTGCTGTTGTCAAGGCTGATGGAAGAGTCTTTGCAGCACCCATTGATTGTGGATGCAATGCCATTCACCAAGTGATGCAAGACTGGAGAAAGTTTAAGGTCTTTTGCAGTAATTGGTTTTAAAAGAAAGGTAGTTTGCACACAGGGCATTTGGTGGCCAAGGGAATACCACGCACAGTGGTGCATACCTGTAGTCCTTGCACCTCAGGATCCTGATTGAGGAGGATCACAATTCAGCAATTTAGTGAGGCACTAAATTAGCAAGACCTTGATAAAATATAAAAAGGGCTGGGGATGTGTCTCCGTGGTTAAGCACTCCTGGGCTCAATCCCTGGGGGGAAAAATAGAAAGAAAGAAAACAAAAAAGAAAAAGAAAAATACTAAATCCGCTTTATAACTACATTGGTACACATCTGTTCATAGATATCTATCTCTACTTTTGCCAAGATATGAAAGCTTACTTTCCTGTTTAAGTAGAAAATTGTAATTAAATTAAATATTGTGTGTCATTGTCACCAAAAAATTTACTCCAGTAGAATTCTAAACTCATACTTTAAAATATATTTTTATGTATGTGTTTTCATCTATGATTTTTGATGTCTGCAGGAATTATTAAAAGCAAGAATTATGGGAAACTTAAGAAAATACCATGAATCAAATTCAATAGTTTATCTAGCTCATTGTCCCAAACTCCCCGTAACACAGGACTTTTAAAAAAACAAACCTACAGATAAAGACTAAAGATCTTACAGAAATTTTATGAACCCAGAATTACTGTCCAACTATAGTGTAAATAATGCATGAGAGCAAAAATAAAAAGTTTTCTAGACATGCTGACTCCTATGTGCCTTTTCTGAGGCTATAACTTTAATTGAAGGAACTGAAATTCAAGAATGGGCAATATAACTGCATACAAAGTGGTCTGAGAAATCACAGAGAAAACACTAGAAAAAAACCAAATAGGTCCAAGTTAGACTAGCAAGCCAGTTGGTCTCAAGAATATCTTTAAAAAAATAACATTGGAGTATATACCAATTAACACACTTTCTAAGAAGTTAGATATCAAATAACATAATAAATAAAGTGCAGTATGTCAACTCTCAATAAAGAAAAAATGAAAATGATGAGATCTGTCAGGAAAAAATAGAATGAAGGGCGCATAAGTTCTTAGTATGAAACAGCAAAATATGGCATGATTAAGGAATTGATAATGAGCAAAGAAGATGGGATATTTTTTTCTGGAAGACCTAATCTCATGAAAGAAAAGTATAATTCTAGTTCCACAATGAAAAGTTCTTTTCTTATTGCAACATTATAATTATGTGTATTTGGGTTCATTTTGACAAAGTAATACATGCAAAGAATTTTATTTCAATTCCCATTATCCTCACTCTCCCTCTTCTCCTCCCTCCCCCTATTCTTCTTCCTCTTCTCTACTGATCTTAAGTCGTGTCAGTTAAAGAGATTTCAGACATGAAACTTCTCCCAGGTTGGAATTACCGTGTGGATCTCATTCCTCTTCTAAAATGTTATGATCCTGCCTCAATATTCACAGAGCATAAATAGGAAGAAAACGTATGCAGATGCTTTACCCTGATTACTGTGAGGGGTCATATGGTCAACGTGTTCGTGACTTTGCTCCACCAACGATCCCATGATCCCTTTGCTCTCAGGGAGCAACTCAGGCTGTTTGGGGTCTTCAAAAGGAGAGTTATTCAAATCTTCATTTTTCAGGAAGCAGAAATGCTGAGAGTAGGAACTAGATATGAACTAGCAGACTAATATATAGGCATATTTCATCAAATCTATTTTCATTTTTTATTATGTAGGCTTTATTTTTTAAAAGGACTGTAGTTCTTCAGAATATAGGCATTCCTAATTTGTATCAGCTTTTGAAAGACATTTCCAACAGAGAGGAAAGTATTGTTTGTGCAGGGACAAATTATGATAATATTTTAAACAATAAATCATTAAATAGAGCATTCCAAAAAGTTAGATACTGAACAGTATTTGAAAATAAAATCTTGCTCAGAAATTAATGACACAAACATCATTGGAAATTTTTCTTTAAAAAAGTCATAGAACAGAATGTCATAGTTTTTCAAATAAATATCCCAAGAAGACCCATATATGGCATTGTGTACTATGCCACTGAAAGTCATTTTATGCTATAATTTTACCCTCAAGTTGCCTTCACTAATTTTTTTTTTTAATAGAACTGAGTTGTTTGTCCCACTTGGATTTCCTGTGCAACCTGGATTTTTTGTGATGTCCTGGGATATAGTTTTTCCTTCTTTGACCATACATCTGTTACATCTGGAAGTTTGATGAGATTTAAGTTTACTTTTTTCTGACACTGGAACTTCATAGATCATCACAATACTTTTAGCAGGAGTTCTGTTTTTCTAGGGTTTATTGCAGTTATTATATTACCTAGTACAGAGTTTCTTAATAGGGACAAATGTCTATGGATATTTGTGGCTGAATAATTTGTTGTTATGAGGACTATCCCATGCATTTTTAGGATATTTAGAAACATTCCTGACTTCTAGATAATAGATAGCAATAGCACCCCCACTTGCAAGCAAACATTTCAAAGATTGCTTGTAGGAGTGAGATCAAACTTAGCTTCATTGATTTTGTTTTGTGCTGTAAGAGGGTAAAATGTGCCATCTCTTATTCCTTATTATCTAAAATACTTTAATAAAATAGAAATTTTACTCTCACAACTACTTCAGCTTCCTGGGGCATAGTTAGTACAGGAAAGGAAAAGTAAAATTTTAGTTCCCCTCTTTTCTGTACTATTTTTAATACAGCAACTGAAAAAGTACTTTTCATTATCATTAAGAAATTATCAGATTGCTGTTTCACATCAGTTACCCTTCCTTTGATTGACATATTGCCTTTCTAGTGTCTGATGTATTCTGCTGTCTGTCCTATTCTCTACTATCCAATTAAAAAAAAGAAAACAATATGCTAAAAAAAAGAAATTATCAGTAAAAATTTATTTGATCTATCTTCATCTATTGCAATTTGATTCTTTTTGATGTTCAAATTTCCCATTTTGAATGAATGAGAGCCTCAGTTTCCTATTGCTGTCATAAGAAAATACTATAAAATGTGTGACTTGAAATAACATAAGATTATTAACTTACATTTTGGAGGTCAGAGTCTGAAATAGATTTCATTGGGCCAAAATAAAAATATCAACTGGGCTGCATTCCTCTTTGGAAACTCTAGGGGTCAGTCTGTTTCTTATTTTCCTTTCCTTCCCAGATGCCACCATTCCTTGGATAATGGTCATGGCTTTCATCTCCAAGGTCAACAGTACAACACAGCTCTAGGAGACAATGGCATTAAAAGATCACAATCTGAGTGTCTCATTCGACTAGATGTTTAGAGTTGGCACAGCCACTGGTGAGATTGAAACTCAGCAGAGGTAGTAACTGAAGGAGTCCTAGCTAACTGGAATCCAACTTGCTGAACCAATATGTAGTCTCCAACTTTGCTGCCATGACCACTGGTGTGCTCAGGGAAAGTGGTTGTTTGACACCTAAGGTAGTGAGTGTGCTTGTCCACTTAGGAACTAACAATCCTTTCTTGTGGAGATTTTGTCTTAAACAGTCACCCAAGATGTACATGAATTTACTCCTCTTTTTCTCCAATCCTCTGTGTCACCAAATCCTCTAAATACTATCCTCTTCTGTCCAGTCAAACCGTGAGAAATTTCAGTGCATTTCTTGATTGCGGAAAGTTTTCTTCACTGTATTTCAGGCCTATACCTTCTCAGTTTTGTAGTGATAGGGACTTCATTGGTGGCCATAATCCATGGGCTTCAGGCATAGTTTTGGGGTGACAGGAATAGACAGGATGGGAGTATTAGGTACCTGTTTATGTCACTTGCTTGGGTTTTTAGAGTCTGGTCAGCCCTAGTCTCAGATGTTTTGGCTCCTCAAATCACTCTTGGTTAGACAGTTCCAAGTACTTGTGACCTGGTTTCCCATGGTCAGTTATTCAGTTACTCCTTAGGCCCAATAGGAAGACAAGGGCTAATTCTGAAAAGCACGGCTATCTTCCTGAAGATTTGGTTTCTCCCCCAAACCCCGTACACTACCACGTCCATGTTCTAATCATGGCTTCCCACAGACTCTATCTAGGATTCCAATCTGCCATATAACCTTTCAGTACCAACAGATGTGGAGTCTTAAGAGGCAAGTGACAGAACTGTTGGTACTGCAGACGGACCATCTGGAGACCACAGTCCTACTGTGGGCCCCTGTGGATACTGGCATCCATCTGTAACATGGTGTATTCATGATAAACTCCAAAGTGTGCAAGCACGGAAAACACTGAGACTTGAAGCACAGGTGCAAGTAAAGGAGGAGATTGAATCTACATCATCAAAATAAAAATTTCAAAGACGAATACCCAGATTGTCAGGCCCTGACTACTAGGTCACCAATTAGAAAAGGTATTCCTTTACATAGTACAATGTTGAGGACATCGACATTAACATCTCTCTCTGCGTAGGCTGCCAGGATCGCCAAGTCACAGTGAGTTCCTATGAAGTACAGCTTGTCCTCCTCTTACATCTCAACCTATTCTTTGTTCTACTTATTTCTTGGATCAAGAGCAAGCCAACGAGAAGCAAAATGGATCTACATTCCAGATCCGATTCTTTGGTGCCAAGATGGAGTAGACACCCCCCAGGACCCAGGCCTCACCCTTTCTTATGGAGGGATCAGCTGGGTGCCACATTTTTCTGAGACGGGGCTGGAGACTGCATGGCTGGGTGGGGTAGATACCGTCTGCTTCTGTGTTCTTGTCTACTCAGTCATGAAATGAATGGAGATGAAATCTCAGCATTCAAGGAGGGAGTGATTTCCTCCTGTCCCAGGGATCAAGGACATACAGGATCCAGGCCCATGGAGCTGACCTTGCTGACTGAGAGGCCTGAGTCCTGAGTTACTGACTGGACAAAAACTATTGAGAAAAGCCACTCCACTTTCGTTATCTGTATAGGAATTTGGGGTAAAGGAGATAATAAATTTTACAAGCCACAGATGTTTTTTTGGATTATTTGTTTCAGCAATTAGCCCATTTTGAATAACATAATGAGATTTTTTTTTAATTTAAAAATCCCCTTTTAAAAAAAACCCTTGGCCAACCAAATAAAAATGGGCCTCCTAAAAAAAAAAGAAAAAAATCTCCCCCCAAAAAAAACACAAAATAAAACAGA